GAGAGCCCTGCCTGAGGTTGGCTCACTGATTATGTAGCTTGTTATGTAGGGTCTGGGGTGGGATGATGGAGACAGCACATATGGGGAGTGGGTCCTGCCAAGTTGCCCCTCAGGACAGGGGCAGGGGAGCTTGAAATTGTAGTGTCAATCTGTGAATTCGCTGGGGAAATTTGCCTCACTGGAAGAGGGACGAGCCACTAAATGTTTTCCTCCAGAGGGAGCATCTCTTGGTAGCTAGGTTTGAATTTAAGGCACTTGAAGTCGGTGCCTACAGTCAGACCAAAACGAAGATGATACCTCTATCCACTAGCTACACACTTTTTTTTTTCAGGTTCTTAATTCACCCAAGAATGAGATTTACAGAGAAGGTAGGAATGTTAAGTCTCCTCTCCCTGCCAGGACAGCTCATTTCTAAACTGACTCAGGTTGGTTGGCAGTGACTGTTGGCATCTAGTGATGGAGTTTGGCAAGGGCCCATGCCGGTTCCCCAAGAAAGAATACGCGAAACGTCCCCAAGCAGAGAATGGATCATAGACAGTGCATTGAATGGTGCCCACCCCCCAACATCTATCTCTCAGATCCTCTGAGTCAACCATAGTTGGGAAAAAGGAGTTTTGGGTGATTACTTTTGTTAAAGATCTTGAGATGAGATCATTAGGTTGGGTCCTACATCCTAGGGCAAATGTCCTTATAAAGGACAAGTTACGAGGCAGGAGACAGCCATGGAGACACTGCAGTTACACTGACATAAGCCAAGAAATTCAGAGTTCACAGAAGCTGGGAAGCAGCAAGGAAAGGTTCTTCCCTAGAACCTGTCAAGGGAGAATGGTTCGACTGACACCTTGATTTCAGACTTCTGGCCTCCAAAACTGGGGGGGGGGGGGGGGGGCCGGCCACCGCCTGGACACTCCACCACACCAGTGCTTGGGTCTCACCAGGCGCAGGGGGGGGGAATGTATTGCGTCATTTCTCAGCCATTTAGTTTGTGGCAATTTGCTGCAGTCACCTTCGGAAATTAAGTGAAAGGCCACTGGTGGTTATTTGCTGACTCAGCACACAATTTAATTTTTCAAAGACTCAAGCATTTAGCTGAAGAGATAAAACAAGAAGGATGGAATTACAGGCACTTATTAAGTATAGGGAGGATTGTTCAAGCAGGGGACTGATGGCAATAGGTAA